CCCATACCCATACTTTAAATTATATTCATCAAATGAAAAAATGCAATTAATCAATATCTAATTTCATAATGAATAACATTCAAAACAATCCCATTTGATTTTTTAAATAAATATAACAAATTCCATAAATTCAGCAAACTTCCACAAAATTGTCATTCACATATAATAAAAATAATATTAATTCTACTTTTTAATTGCTTTCCTCATAAAGTCATAGAGTCAATTGAAATGTCTCAATGAATGAATGTAGTAATAATGTGACAATCATGTTATTCGATAATAACTTATGTACGCGTGTCAAATTGTAATTGTGTGACTAAAAAAAAAAACTAGCAAAAATTGTATGCAATTATCATAAGAATATACGATCATTACGTGAATAGTATCTTATATGCCTTACTTTTCCTACCTTTTCTTGCTTTTCTTGCTTTGATTTAATCATTTTAATTTCTAAATCAAACATTTCATTAATATTCATCAACATTCATCAACACTTAGCAACACTCATTATACTCATTATCATTATTATTCGGCCATTTTTTATGATTCCATGTAAATAATCAACGAAATGTTAGGTAAATAAGGTTATAATCTTTTTATGATCTTCGTTCACGTAGACACCAAGCGAAATACTGGAATAAATCGATAATTAAATAGGTAAGGATTTATGTTTTCAATTAATTTATTGCTTTCTTTCTTTCTTTTTATTATTTTTGGAATTCCATAAAATTTTTTTTTACTTTGTCTAATTCAGTGATAAAATTTTTTTTTTGGATTCTTTCAATTAACATGCTGCATTAACATGGAATGACATGGCATATATTATAAATTCTGAAATTCTTAAAATCCTTTGAATAATGAAAACTTCTAAATGAACAATAGGATATTCCAAAAAAAAAATTTGTTATTGTCATTATTTGTGCTCAAATGTCAAATCCCTAATCATAGATCAAGTTGAATCTGACTTATTTTGTGTATATTTTTTGATATAATAATAAGTCACTTTAAAAGTTAAAATATCGAGAAAATATTTACACGTTTTACGCGTAATTATAATTCCTTTATTAATGTTAGAAAAATTATCAATATTTTAATCTTTGTAATACTTATTATTTCACAAATTAAGCTTCATTTAAAAGAAAACTTATTCATGACGCATTTGTTAATCTAATATTCCGTAATATATGGAATTTAAACTAATCGCACCATCAACTTTATATTTTACTTTATATTTACTTAATATTTGCTTTATATTTACTTTATATCTACTTTATATACAGTTTAATGGCCAAATGTGCAAAATAATTTTAAATTCTCATACAACGTGTAAAAAATCCCATTATCATTAGAATTATTTAAGGAAAATCAACCGAATATATGATAATGAGACTAAATATTCAAATATTGAATAAATATTAAACGAATGCAAGTGGTTGAAACAATAACCAAACCATTTGTCCTTTTATTAACTTAATTCATTTTATTCATTATATTCATTATATTTATTTTATAGTGATGGTTAGAAACAAGTGTGTAATGTCATTTTATGCGACTTTGATACATTTGCATTTAGTACAAAATCTTTTTCTAATTTAACACTAGAATGTAGGATAGGAGACATTAACATGTTATTGATTATTATTGGTTCTCTATACATTCATATTATTTAAAAAATAATTCTAGTAATAATTATAACAATTAAATTCAATTCTCAAACAAAAACAACGGCAACAACAACAACAACAACAATTACAACAACAACAATTACAACAACAACAATTACAACAACTACAACAATGAAATATGATTATTTTTTCTTAAAGATTTTAACAAGAGTGTTTCACGAATTCACAAAAATGTAACGAAAGTAATTCGTGTAACTAATATAATCCATTGTTAACTAGTAGTAACACGCTAAAAGAATACATTCTCATACATTAATATGCATTAATACAACATTCATATATAATTTACTTTCATTAAATACTTCTAAATTAAATTTCCTGTTATATATTTATTTATTTTTTTATTGCAGTTTCTTTTATTATTTTCCTTCTTGTTTCAATTCATTTCATTCGTTCGTTCGTCATACTGCATCCTTATTTTTGTTCTCTACAATATTCGTTGCAATATTAACTGCAATATTCGCTGCAATATTCTCTGCAATATCCGTGTGTTTGTATATTTGGTGTTTAAATAGACATTTTGCATTTTAACAATGCACGGTAGAAATTTTCATTTGCCAAGATATTTATTTCATCAAAGAACTTCATAATGAACTTTATGAATAATAATGCATCTAAACAAGGATTCATAATAATAATAATAATAATAATAAGTAATAATAATAAAATATTGGAAGTACCTTTCGACAAAGAAGTAAATCATTTATTTCTTTTTTATTAAGATTAGAAACAAAATAAACATGTTTTTTATTTGTACATATATAATAACATTTATTCGAATAAGTAAAAAAACGTGGTGATAATAATATTTTATATGCATTTATTTAAGACGTGGCATGGTATGTACTATATCTTCTGTATTTTGTCGATAAATTAAAAAGCAAGATAAATCAAATTAATATAATTAATATATACTTCTTTATTAATTAATTTGACCATTTTTTGTTCTATTCTGCACAATAAATATTATTTATATTATTTGCATTATTTTCTATACATGATTATTAAAACTAAATTTAAAATAAAGTAAAAAGAAAGTATGAAAATAATTATAATAAATAATAAAAATAATAAATAATAATAAATACAAAATAACAAGAAACCCCCTTTTGGATTTATTCAAAATAAACATTGTTACATTGTCATTTTTTTTTATACTTTATACAAAAAAATAAATTGTGTGTAAGATTTTATACGTTGCATTTCCTAATTAAATTTACTTTTGATCGGTGTCCAACTAGATAACTAGATGCCTAAACTTACTTTTCTTAAGACAATGCATGATATTTTATTGGCAAAGTCTAGAACGCTCTTTTTTTACCTAAAAGGTTCAAGGTGTAAAATCAAATGACGTATTCATTACGCTTTATTCACGATTTATTCACGATTTATTCACGTATTTATATAAACCAGGTCATGTGAAATAGAGGACCCCAGAATATTTTTACGTTTTTAAATGTAAAATTTTTTATAAAATAAACAAGAAGCATATCTAATGCATTTCGAAATTTCTATATTTCACAAAGTTTATATCAATGTATGAAAAAAACACATCTAACTGTTAAAAGTTAAACGATGAATAATTATTTTTAGTAATCTTGTATTTTTACTATTGAATTCTCGTAAATAAAGTTAGATCTTTCATTAAACATTTCTATTTGCGATCCAATTTCTTCTATATTACACATTTTACAAGAAACATGAAATGATCAAGATTCCTGACATTTGTCATTTTATTATTATTTTTAATGTATGCGGTACAGTAGATATTGAATTCCTTATCTCTAACCCTCGATTGGTGCAAAAAAAAAAATAAATAAATAAAATAATCAATTTGCAGTGTATTTTGCAAGTTAAATTTGATACTTCCTTAAAATTTAAACATAAAACTTAAATAAAAACAAAACAATCTTTCTGAACCTAAAATTCTTTTAATGACTAACATGACTAACACATTTACAATACATAATAACACATTGTAACGTTGTGAAATATCATATATTTAATAATTACTAATTTCATTGTTATCGATTCGGTAGTCGTGAGAATTAAACCTTTGCAAGATAATGCGGTATAATGCGTTACCACCCTACTGTATCATCAATAATCACATGTACCAACAAACCAAATTAATTTTTACTTTCCGAATATACGTTCTAAGAAAATCAATATTCCAAAAATATAGAATGGTTCTTTTTTTTTAAAGTTAATTTGATTAATTTTATTGGTTTTGAATCAACGCCGAGAAAACAAAAAAAAAATAAATATAAATAAAATATTGATTTAGGACAGAATATGAAAAAAAATCCATTTCGCGAGAATTAAAAATTCTTTCTTGGAACGAATACAAAAAATTTCTTGCTCAAAACTTGTTTAAAAACTTTATTTATCATAATAATAACAAAAGCAGGATTGGTTCCTTCAACTATCGGACGTTCCGTACAATTAAATAAATAAAATTTTTATAAATTATAATGGATAATGAACTTTATTACCAGTTATTCTAGTTATTCTTGTGATCTTTATCGATTACTACGACAAACAAAATACATATTAGAATTAATTTTGATTGGATTTAACAGAATTTTCGATTCAATAAGATTTTTTGTGTACCAAAGTTGTAAATCAGGGTAAATCAGAGTAAATCAGATAACAATCCGAGTAACTGTTCCGTTTTTTTCCTTTATCATTTACATTTCTTAATTATTTAAACTTGTTTTTATACACAGGGTTCTACAACCAAAAAGAATTTATTAATTTCTTTATTCAAATAAATAATAAATTAAATAAATTTGTAGTAATGCATTTTCAGGTTGCACGAAAATTTATCTATAATCGCGGCAATCGTGGCACCATATCACGTGTGAACCATAAAAATTTCAGGATTTTAATCATACATGTCGTCAAAACTATTAAATTTAAATGCGATTGACGTAGTAATTGAGTTATTTTTGACGTTTTTATAATTCCAAGTGTAAACCTAAATATCTATATAACCCCCTGAAATATGTTCATTTATTTGTTGTCCTGGATTTCAAAAATAGATAAATTACCATTTTGGGATAACAATTTTGGCAAGAATTATGAAATTTTCGATTTTCGATCAAAAAAAAAAAATAACAGGAAAGTAATAATTATAATAAATTAGATTTGCCATCAAGTATAAAGAAAAATGTGAGAATAGTATAAAGTTAAATTTAAACGATTATCAAGTTTTCAAGTGTATTTACTCAAAATCTAATTTTAAAATAATATAATCCAATTTTAATATAAAATAATAACAATAATATAAACCCAAAACCCTTTTCCCTTAAATTATCCATCCTTATTTATATTTTGATATTGTTGATAAGAAGGCGGTTCATTATTATGTACTAAACTAGGTGAGGTTAAATTATCACAATGAGATAATAATAACATTTCAGAAGAATTTTCATCAGAATATGTTTGCAATAAAGACGAAGAATTTTGATTTTGATTTTGATTTTGTATTTCCTTTCCATCATCATCATTATTATTGTTGTTGTTAATATCGTCATTAATGTCGATTATTTTTTGTGTCTCTTCTTCATCTTCATCTCTATTAAGATTATTCGTATTTTGTTCTGAATAATATTCTTTACCTTTATTCTTTTTTCTATTGATAACATTCGCTGCTTGCGATACTTCCATATCTTCAGTATTTGCTCCTTCACTTATTATTTTTTCTAATTGTTCTTTGTCCTTTTCTATTTCTTGATATTCATCCACATCTGTAGGTAATATTATAGATTTAGCTGCTTTTAAAGCTAAATTTGGCGCTAAAGCTATTGCTACAGTTAACATCACCGTTACCCAAAATTCAGATTTTATACCAACTTTTTGAAATACTCCTCGTACATCATATGCTGCTGATTTAGAAACAACTGGATATATAAATGAATAAATTGTTTGCCATAAAAACCATCCAAAAAGTGTTAGCAATGATGTCACATGAGTTATTATTGTCCAATTATGACATTCTAAGTAAGCTATTTTAATGGTTACTATAATTACTACACAAGTATATGATACTAATCCAAGTTCATACAATTGAGGTGAACCTACAGCACGTAATTCATATGAGAGAAACATTCCATGTAATAAAACTGTTGTCGATACAATTACAAATGCATGAAATATTCCTGCACACATCCATGAGAAAAATAATTTAAGATTAAATGCTCCGTTACGTTGTCCTAATTGATATAATTCTGGTACACCTATTAATGTTTTTCTCTTTAAATCCTTTTCAAACATACCAATTACTATTACTGGTAAAGAAGAAAATAATGTATTATAAAATGAAAGTGTCCATGATTCGTATAAACTTGTTCCTGAGAATCCTGTAAAAAGTTGAAAAATTCCTTGCGTTAAATAAAAGCACATACATTTATAAAATGTTCCTAATACAAATTTCGATACTCTAACATATGACCATCGACCGTGAACAAATAATAAACTAGTTAGAAATCGAAATTGTGCTATTGAATAATCACTTGATCTAGCTGCTTGTAATCCTTCTCTTCCTGTTATTCCTATACCAACATGTGCTTCTTGAATCATCGCTATATCATTCGCACCATCACCGATTGCTAATGTTACCGTTTGTTTTAATTTTTCTCGAATATTCCTTACTACAAGAGCTTTTTGTGCTGGACTTACACGACAACAAACAACTGCTTCACATAATATTCCTAATGATACAAATGTTTTCATTAATTCCGTATCCTTTTCAATTGTCATTAAAGTTGCTCCATCCACAACTGCCACCGCATGTTTAGCTATACCATTATCAACATCTTTTAGATATCTTTTTAACATAGAATTAAGATCTTGAACATTACAATCTATAATAATTACAGTTGAAAAATTCTTTATTAATGAACAAGAGTATCCAATATTAATTGCGGTTTCACGTTTATCTCCAGTCAACATCCAAATTCTTATTCCCGCTCTCCGTAATTTGTCAATAGTTTCAGGAACACCATCTTGTAATTTATCTTCAATCGCTGTAGCTCCTGTGATTTCTAAGTCACATTCAATAAGTTCTGCTACTTGTTCTATCTTTTTTTGTCGATCAATTAGAGCAGTTGAAGCATCTTGGAAAAGTTTATTCCAAGTATTATATTCAGCTTCACTTAAGTATCGATGAGCATAAAGTAAAGTTCTTAAACCTTCAGTAGCAAAATCTTGAATATGAAACATGGTTTGACTATATAACCAAGCCTCATTTCGAATAGGGAATAAATCAACTACAGAATATTCGGAATCTATTGTTCTTATACTTGAACTCCGTTCATGTGTATGATTATGTGTATTAACAGGTGATGGTATTTCATTGATTGAATGAGGCGTATGAGGCGTATGAGGCGTATGAGGTGTATGAGGTGTATGAGGAGATTGTTCACTAGATATGGAAATATTAAGATTCGAGGTGCTCACTCGAAGATTATATCGTTTTGATTTTGATTCGGAATCATCAAAAAGTTCTATTTTATCTATTTTATCATCCATTGTATCCATGTATTTTCCTTTTTTGTCACCCTTAAATACTTTCTTGTTTGACCTTTTTGGATTTCTCAATCTTTCGAGTACAATAGAATCAGCCCCTTTACAAAGTAAACAAATTCTTCCATTAGGGAGGCGATATACGATAGACATCCTTTTACGTTTACTAGAGAACTCAAGCACATTCAAAATCTTATAAGTTTCATATTTTGAATTATCTAGATTAGGTGCAATTAATCCTTCTGGGCCATCATTATTAATTCGAAGTGACACCGTGGACATGTTTTTATCAGTTACCACATAACCTAATTCTTTTGCGGCTGTCACGAGAGCAAATTCATCAGGGGAAGCAGCTTGATAAAATATATTTTGACTTTCTTTGTCAATTTCTGGTACACAAGTATGACATAAAGCAATTGCAAGCAAGAAAAATCGCGCACATTCTCCAAATTGAGTATTAGATTGATGTTGTATTATCGTAAGTAGATCAAGGGTTGAACGCATTTGAGTACTTTTACCTTTAAACACAGACTTTGTAGAAGATTTTGATGAATCTCTTCTATATAATGGCGATGGACCAGTAGTAGTAGGTGCAATCATTGAGAAATTTCCAATACTATGATTTAGAGGTGCTATTTGAATATCATCTGAGTTCTCCAAATCTTCATGTGAATGCGAACGATTATGCCGTCTACGTGAAAATCCATGATTTGATCGTGATGATCGCTTGTTTTGTTTTAATGCTGCCAATAATTCTTCCTCTTCAATTCTACGCAAATCTAAATCGTGTATGAATGCCCTACCTCCTATACTAATTTTTCTAAAAAGCATTATATTATCCGTCAAAGTACCGGTTTTATCCGAAAATAAATATTTAACTTGACCCAATTCTTCATTAATTGTAGATGTACGAGCTTCAGCCGGAGTATCAGTTTCACTATGATACATTTCCAAATCATTATTAATAAAATACGCTTGAGCAAGTTTAACTAATTCCATTGTAACGTAAAGAGATATTGGGATCATTGTGTTAAATAGAATGATGAAGGAAAATAGTACAACGTAAAGTGGTGATTTTATTCCTAGAAAATACCATGCATCCGTTACCATATCCTCATCCCAAATTGCCGCAAAGATAGTGCACAAAGCAGATAAAAGTAATACAAAGGTAAAAATAATTATCACTACCCGATTCATCAATCGTTGTATCGTGGGAGCTTTTGTTCTAATATTTTTTGAAGCATTCATCCGGAGCTTTGTTTGTTCACCTGTAAATATGACCAATCCATAAATTTCGGGGGTATTACGTAGAATAGTACCACGTAATAAGATTTGGTCGTTTGATAGACTAACCAATTTTCCATCGGGAAACTTTATTGATCCATCAAAATTATATAAATCTTGATTTGGATTTTCTGTTGTGACAGTAACTACATTAATTAATATAATTAATTAAATTATAAGTTCATTCATTTATAAATTCATTTATTTATTTATTTATTTATTTATTTATTTATTATTTATTTATTTATTTATTTATTTTTTATTTTGAATTAATAAAAAGAAAATAAAATAAATATAAGAAAATATTATTAACAATAATATTTTAAATTATAATACCTTCAAAATTTGCAAGAGTCTCTTCTTTGTTTACTAAATTATTAGTCTCTTTTAATGCTTGACGTTGTTTTAAATTAGTTTCACCATCTAATGCAGCAGTCTCTACATAACAAGATCCTTGTTCACCTTTTGAATGAAGCAATAATAAATCAGCGGGTACCCATTCTTGTGCTTTAACCAATACGAAGTCCCCAACTTGTAAATTTTTCCATTTTTCCTTATTCCATACGCCAATTCTTTTGGAAGTACCATTTGCATCATTTGATCGATAAACTCTTAATACTGAACATTCATTATTATTTTCCACTTGATCTTGTCTATGTCTACGTAAATCATCAAATCCTTCATGTGCCATGGCAATACCAATAAATACACTTAATGGAATGATTGTAGTAAATTGTCCAGTGGGAGAAAATCCGGGAATTGCTTGTAAAGCTGCAACAAAAATAAAATAAATATTGGCAACTTTTGAAAATTGATACCAAAGTTGTTTAGGAAGAAAATTCCAAAAGGTGTAACGGGAAGTTGTTATAAAATTTTTTATAAAAGGAGCATTTGTTTGAGGATCTATTAGAGGACTTTTTCTCTCTGGAATTACAGGAATAAATCGACCGGGTTTTTCTTCTTTAGAACCTGTAATTAAAGTACTTAAACATTTGGCAGCATGACGTATACTTTCCCTTCTCCTAGATAATGATTCATTAACACGATAACTCAAAGAAGTATTTCGAATATGAGAATGAGAAACTAATTCAGGAATACGTCCCGAGGGACCACCCGATGTATCGTTGTAATGTAAAGCATCATTTGAATCACTATCTAATAAATCAGATGGAGTTGAAGTGCTTTGTGGATTAAAATTGGTTGATGGTTCTTCAAATGGTAAAGTAGTAAATGTTGCAACAGTCGGAGATTCTGCAGAATGTTCATTCGATGACATAATGTCTATTTTATATATATTTTATTTTCTAAATTACAAATAATAATATATATTATTATACAAATTGTGTAAACGATAAAGCATGCTTATTTTAGTACACTTTTATTTAAATTTTATATAAATATAAAAAGCAAGGGAAAAAAATTCAGGAAGAGAAAAAAATGCTTTGAAATGTAATTAATGTAATTTCTAATTTTATAAAAAAAATTTATTGGCTAAATTAAAAATTTTAACGTGACCATCAGAATGCAATGCAATATTATTTCAATATTATTTGTGCTACTTGATGATCTCATAAAATAACAGTGTACTAAAAATTATTCCATTAATGGAAGTTTTAGCTTTTTTAAAGAAAATATATTTTTTATTTTTGAAAAAAAATTACCAATTAATTTATTTTTTTTTTTTATAATAAATAAAAATTAATAAATATTAATAGTAAAATGCATATATAAATATTTAAATATAAAAAATTATAAAATAATAATAATAATAATAATAATTGTACACATATACATATTTAAATATTTTGAAGGTTTTGAAATTATTTTCATGAATGGAAAAAAAAAATGTAAGTACTACTATATATATAATATATAAAATAAATAATTTAAATTATAAATAATTAAATTAATTAATAAATTAAATTAAAAAGATGCGAATGATATAAAAATGAATATAGAATGGATATGAAATGATATGAAATGATATAAAATGATATAATAATGGAGAATGAATTTTTTTTTTTTTAATTAAAAACACATGAATCGTCTCTTCTTATTAATAAGTTGTTCCATTTGGTTCTCTAGCACTAATCTGGCTTTTTCTGCTTTCATTTTTGCTTTTCTTTCCTCTTCTAAAACACTTTCCATAATCTTCTGCTCTTCTTCAACCGTTGTTCTTGTATTTTTAATTTGTGTTTGTGTTTCATTCAATTGAGATTTTAAATATTTAATTTCTTCAATGAAATCTTTTTTCTCTTTCTGTAATATTGTTAATTGTTCTTTTGCAATTGATAAATTCATTTCACTATAATTTATACTTGCTTCCAATGCTTCGACTTGTTGTTTACTTTCTGCATTTTCACTTTCAATCGTTGGTATTTTTGTTTGAAGATTTTGAATTTCTACTGAAAATTCTTTCGTTGTTCGTGATGTTGGTGAGTTCCCTCTTAGTGGTGAGATATTCATTGGTAACCGTGGTAATGGTGATGATGGTGGTGGTGTAGAAGGTTGTGAAATAATTTTAACACCTTGACTCATAATTTTCGAAGGTTTTTTCTTGTTATTTGTATCTGATAAATTGGATGATATTGAACTACGATCTGATTCATCATTACATTGTAATTCCAGCTGTGAAAGTTTCTCTTTAAGATTGTTAATAACATGATGTTGTTCGGTTATGATGTCATCGTTTTGTGCTACAATAGATCGTATTGAATTACTAGAATCTCGTTTTGTGTTTGGTGATTTATATCTTTCCAATTGATCATTAAATTCTAATAATCGTGTAATTTCTTGTTCCACATTTTTAGCTTTATCACTATTATTTATTTTAAAGTCTGAAATGTCTTTTCTCAGAGTTTCAACTAAATTATTTAATCTGGAAATTTGTATATTTGTTTGATTTTCATCTGAACCGGTCATTCGCAATCGCAACTGTTCTCTTAGAAATGCAATTCTTTTATCTAGAATTATTCGTTCTTCTGTGATAACCGTGTTTATCCCATACGAATGTTCTTTCTCATATTCAAGTTCTTTGATTTGAATCTTCAAACTTTTGATCAATGATTTTCTATTCTCTTCATGATAAATTATATGTTTTTCTAATTTTTCTACTTTTTCTGAAAGCGTGCAAGTTCTTTTTTCAGATTCCACGATTTTTGAATTTAAATTTTCGTTTGTCTGTTGCAACTCTTTATTCGTTATTAAAAGTTTATTGATTTCAGGATCTGTTGACTCTCCTGCTAATATTTCAAGATCTAATTTTTTGGATTCTTCTAATGCAATTTCTAACTCATTTATGCGACGTTTCTGTTTTTTAGATAATTTATCTACTTCCTCAAATTTGGACACTTCAACTGCAAATTCATCCGCCAATGTTTCAATATCTTTCTGAAGTTGATCTAATTCTTCTTCAAGATCCTCACGGTGCTCAATTTGTACCATTTTATCTGTTTCCAAATAATGTGTAATCTTTTCCAATTCTGTAACGCGAGTTTTTTGCGATTTGATCTCTGAATATGTCTGTTTAATTTGATTTATTAATTCTTGTACAGCAGAATCTTCAATGTTTTGATAACAATCAAGAACAGAATTATGCTTTAAGTCATCCTTTTCATTTTGCATTTGCGCATATTCTTCTTTCAGGATGTAAATTTCATCGTTAATTTCTTTAAGTTTAGAATGTTCAACATCACGACGTTGCTTTGCATCTCGAAGCTTGGATTTTATTTCCTTGACTTGTTTTCTATATTCTATTGTGGGTGATTTAACTTTTTTAAGTTCTTCCTTTGTGATCTTTAATTCGTCGGCAGAAATTTCATTTTGTTGAGACTTTGAATTGACTTCTATTAATTTGGCTTCTAAATGTCTTATACGTCCGGCAAATGAATCAGAATTCTGTTTAAGCTCTGATTCGATCAGTCGTATGATATCATCCAATTCTAAAATATGAGCATTTTGATTTGTAATCTCTTGTTCATTTGATATTATAAGTTTTGTCAGTTCTTTTAAATTATCTTCCAATATGCAAAGTAATCCAACACGACTTTCATCTGCAGATTTTGCTAATTTAAGATGAGATTTCATGACCTCAAATATTTTTTCAAATTTATTAATGTTTATGTTATTGCTCTTTGAGGAAGCATTGACATTTAATAACCTTGTCTTGAAACTATTTAACGTAGAATCTAATTTTTTAATTGCATCTTTTTGATTCTTTTCTTTTTTTTCAAGTTCATTCGTTAAATTTGCGATACGTTTTACATGTTGTACACTTTCATCTTCGACCTTTCCCATTTCAGATTCACATTCTACTAACATTTCATTTTGTTTTACAATTTCAAGTTTTGCTTTGACTAATTCAGATCGAGCTGTTTCAACTTTTTTGTCACTTGTTCCATTATTCTTACACTTCTCAAGTTCATTTTCCAAAGTCTTGATACATTTTAATGTATTATCATATTCTTTCTGGGCATCATTCAAGGATTCATCAATTTTATCTTTTTCCGTTGATGAGTTTGTGTTATATTTTGCTGATGCTAATTCCCGTCGTAAACTTCCCACTTCCTCTTCTAGAGAATTACATAGATCCTGTTGGAGATTAAAACCACCTTTGATTGTTGAAAGTTCTTTAACAGCAATTTTCTTAGATTCTTCAACTTTATGAATTTGTGATTGTAATTGCTCAATTGTTGATTTATGTTCAAAATCTAATTCTTTTAAAAATTCTAATTCTTCCTTTATTGTTTCAGTGATCTTTGCTTCCTTTTGGACTGTCGCATATTTATTCTCTAAATGTTGTAATGTTTTCTGTAATTTGGAATCTGAAATTTTTAAATCATTTATTAGTGATTTTAAAGAATTTATGTCAAGATTCTCGTCATTGACTAATTCTAGTCTGATCTGAAGATAATCCAATTGTTTATTTTGTTCGCGTTCATTTTCGTGCAATTTTTCTATTTCTTCATTCAATTTTTCAACCTGTTTAACCTTTTGTGAATTTTTAGTTTCAAAATACAATTTATTTTCAATTAATTGAATTGTTTGCAATTTTTCTGATTCCTTAGCTTTCAAGTTATTAATCTCTTGCTTAATGGCCGCTATTTGGGTTTTGTCTTCTGCATCTTTTAATTTTTTCTCGAGATTTTGAATAGTACTTTTTTGAGTATCTTGAGATTTCTGTGATAGAGCTAATTCAATCTTAGTTTTCAATAGATCTTCTTGGATATGTTCTCCTTTATTGGCAAGTTTTCTTTCCAAAACATTTATTTTCTCGCGTTGTACAATTTCAATATTACGTAACTTTTCGATTTGTTCTTGAAGTTTTGTATCTTCAACACTAGAAGCTACGAAATATTTGAGAGTATGAATCCGTTCTAATGTTTCAGTTTCTCTACTTTTTACTTTTAAAAGTTCCTTTTTCAGACTTTTCAGCTCTGATCCAATAACATTATTGATATTTCCTTCGTTTTCTAATTTTATATTCCACGAATGAAGTTTGTTCATAGTATCTCGCAATTCTGTTTCTTTATTATGAGTTTCTATAAGTTTAGTACGAAATGATAATGCTTCAGCTTCTTTCTCTTTTAATTTTTGTTGAATTAAATTCTTATCTTCCAAATTTTCTTTTAATAAATCAATTAATTCATTCTTTTGTTGAATGTTCGATCCTAAAGATTCCAATTGATTTTGAAGCTCGAAAATAATTTCTTGTTCTGTTTGCAAATTTTCTTCGGATTCAGATTTGGAAATGAGTTCATCTTGTAATCCTGATAATTTTTCTTTAAGTCCGTCCAAAGTTTTATGTGTTGGAGTATCCAAAAGAAGCATCAAAGAATTTCGTCTTGGGGTAGGAGCTTTTGTGGTTTTTTGGGCTCTTCTAAGTTGAAATTCAAGATTCTGTATTTTTTCTTCCATCTCTTTAATTTGTTTTTCATCAAAATTTAATATAGGAACATTCTGAGTGTTATTAGAATTTAATATTCCATTTTTCATTGCAATGGCAAGTCGATAAGTTTCTCGTGTTGCAAAAAGCTCTTCTTCAAGTTTAAGTATTACATTTTGATTTTCAATAGACGGATACAATAATGCAGCTATTGTATGACTTTTTGATTCAATCTCAATATCTAATTTATTAATTTGATGTCTTAACATTCCATCATTAAATTCTGTTGGATAATTATCTCCAAGGGAAGAAATAGCTTCTTTGACTCGAGCTTTTCTTCTAGCTTCAAATGCCTTAATGAGCTGATCTTCATGTACCTTTATTTGAGATAATGATAAGTTAATTGTTTCTTCACTTGAATTTTCAGTTATTAATTTGTCTCTTTCAGAAATCGCTTGACTCATTTCGATTTTAAGCTGATCAATTTGAGATTCTATTTCCAGGATTTCATCACCTTTGTACCCATATTGATTATCAGATAAAGTATCCAAAAGTCTTTTTTGTTCACATTTAAGTTGTTCGACTTCTTCTCTTAATCGATTTATAATCTCTTGCGTGTCGATATCACTATTTGTTACAGAAAAATCTTCTCTTTCAGGATAAACACATTCTGAGGAAGTCATTACAGACATAACTTTAACTTGTGCCATTCCGTCTCTTCTTTTTATTTCTTCGCGAAGCTCTTCAACAACTTCCGAAGAATCAGATTGGGTAGCGTGCAATCGAGCAAATTCTTTTCTAACGGAGTCTAATTCTCGAGCCTTTTCAGCATGAACCATTTCTAATTGACGAATGTCAGCATGAAGCTTTTGTATCAGTACCTGATTATCATCTTCATTTGTCATTGATAAAGATTTACGATGTGATGAAAAAGAATCTCTAGATTCCTTATTCTTTTGAATTTTTGCTTGTAGGTCACTAACTTCATTCAAACTATACTCATAATTTTGTTTGATTTCAAGATATTCTGAAATTGTGTTTTCGTGGATTTTCTTAAGTTCATAAATTTGTGATTCAAGAAGAGAAACTCTTGAATAATCTATCGTTGTGCGTTTAGAATGCATGCTAAAAATTGAAGAAGGAGTTTCAGGATCATTTACAGAAGAAAATGTTGATATAGACGACTGCTGTTTCAAAGGATAATTATTTGATTCCTCCTTAAGCTTTTTCATACGAGAAATTTCATTAACAAGACTTTCAACCTTATCTTCAAGTTGAGAAATTCTATCATCTCGATCATTAAGTCCTTCTTGTAATATTTTTTGATAATCTTTATCATTAGTTTTTTGTTTTTTATATCTGGCCTCAAGTTTTATATAAGAATCTGCAATATCATGTAAAGCTCTTTCCAAATTTTGTGCAGTCTTATTTACTGCAAGATAGTTTGCTTCACTTATTTTCACTTGCTTTTCGATATTTTGGATTAAAAGGTCTTTTCCCTCTTCAGTAGAACTAATTTCTGCAATTCTTTCTTTTAATTCATTAATTATTTCTTGGTCTCTCTTTTGATCATCGGCATGAGAATTTAATTTTTTTTCAAGATCTTTAATATATTCATTGGTAGTTTCATTTCGTTTATTATAATTCTGAATATTATTTTTTAAATCATTTATTAATCTTATACTTTGACTTGCTTGATCTTCTGCCTCTAATAATTTTATTTCTTGTTCATGTAATAATTTATCGGTTTCACTTATGACTTTGCGAGTACTTGAAAGTTCATTTTGAAGTTCACCTATGGTTTTCTCATACTTTGATATAATAGGATTAATTGATTCTTGAATTTTATCCATATCTTTTTTTGAATCAATTACACCTTGATCAGGGCCAATAATTATTTTCTGAAAGTTCTTTATGTCTTCCGAGGCTTTTGAATATTTTCCGGAAAGTTCTGTATAAGAATTTTGAATTTCCTGTAACTGTTTCTCAAGTTCTTCAACATCTTTATTATTTTTATTTTTTGAGTAAAAAGAGGTGAATTCAGACAATGGTGACATTGGAGTGTTTCTTCCTGATCCTGGTATTTCATTAGAACTTTTAATTGCTTTAATTTCAGTACGAAGTTTCAAGACTAAACGTTGTAAATTTTCAATATCATTCCAACCAGTTTCTTCCAGATTAACTTTTGCATTATTTTTAATATTACGAGCTCTGTTAGCGTATTTAAGCGTATTAATGGTTTCATGAATATTATATTCTGCTGGTGTCACACATGCTATCATTAAAGTTTGAGCGTTTCCACCTAACGAGTCTTGTAAAAGCCGTGTTAATTTTGAATCTCGATATGGAATATGTGAATTAATTGATGGATCTCCTAAGGCCGATATAACATTTCCTAATGCCAGAAGACCGGAATTAATACATATTCCTTCCTTTATTCGGTCCCCTAAAGCCGAAGTTCGTTTAAGCTGAAAAATTACATTATTTTAAAATTACAATAATTCATAATGAAATATATTTATTTATGAGCGTGCTTTAGTAGAATAACTTACTCTTTCACTTCCTGCTAGATCTACGAAATGAAATTTACTCGTCACCGTTACAAGATTTCCTTCATTAGTTGATTTTTGTTGTGAGAGAATAACTGAAAAAATTGCGTGCGACCTGGATGATTTTGAATTCATATCTGTCGCACCGACATGCCTGATTGAAGAACCACGAGCCAAAAGACTATTTACATGTAATTGTAAAATTAATTTCGTAAAAAATTTTTGAAATAACATTTTCAAAAAAAAAAAAAATTTTCCTCTAGCGAATACATACTTCATAACTTCAACTTCACTATTTACATTAATTTCTTGTAAACCACTTAGTATAATGGAACCTTTGGTGTCTTCACGTATCGTAACTTGGGGTTTACACTCATAATCTCCTTCTTCAGCAAGTAAGTCAATTAAATCTTCGTTATGTACTTCCACAAATGAAACATTTATGGTGAATTTGAATTTTTTATACTTTTCTGAATTTATTTTGGTAAATAGCGCGTCCATAGATCGTGGAATTATACCTTTCGAATCTGGTGATTGAGAACAATGTATTGTACCCATTGTATGTGTTTTTCCAGAAGATGTTTGACCGTAAGCTAATATTGTAACATTATAACCTAAGTTTCATAAAATATATATATATATATTAAAAAAAAAAAAAATTCAAAGAGAATTTGAGAATTAGTATTAAAGTAATTTAACACGTGATTTTTCAAGGTCGAACTTTACCTTCCGTGAATTTGTCAACCATTCCTTTTACTGTTTTATCAAATATTTCTTTTTGGGTTGCTTCTGGACCAAAGACGTAATCAAATGTATAATTTTGTTTCCTTTCACAAGTTACCGTAACTTGATTAGGCGTGAATTGTGATGTGAACAGGACATTCTTTTGAAATCGTGTAGGTATGGTAATAAAATCATCTTCTGTGAGAGGCCTTATACGAAGAGCTAAAAAAGTTTTATTTGTGGTTCGTTTCAAAAAAAAATGAATTAAAGAATTTAAATTACTTTGATTATTATTATTACGCGCACATATTTCTTCTCTATAATTTCACGTGACCTACTCGAAGATCTTATGCTTACCAACTTGTACCGCTGATTTTTCTGAAGTTGTTAAATTAGTTGCGCTGACCATATTTTTTGCTGTATTATTGCTTATTAAGGATAATGTGTGGAGGGAAGGAGGGAAGAGAGAGGAAGGGAAAGTAAAATATCAAAGTTTCTTATTCTGATTTTATGTATAAAATAGGAGGGCTTTTTTTATTATAAAAAAAAATTTTGAAAGAGCCTGCTCCCTCAAATAATAAATAAATCGTAAAAAAGGTTATTGATAGACGTTATATACATCAACTTGATATGAATGTGTTTTGTTTTTTAAATAAAGGTCGATTATATAAAGTACACGAGGTTTTTTATCTTGGTTTATCTTAGCGGGGGTTTTTTTTTTTTTTAAAAAAAAAAAAAATTATACCTCTCTCTTTTACTTTTTTTATCTTACTTAAGCAATCAATACAATAATGACGAATGTGTTTTTATTTTATTGGCAAAAGGAGTGTAAAAAAAAATAATAATAATATATTTCTTAAGAAGAAAAGAAATCTTTCGTTAATAATAATTTCTCGTAAAGAGTTAATAACCAGATTTAAGTAAAAAGAAACAATACATATTTTGTAATTTGACAATTTATATAATTTATATGCACGTTCCATAATATATTTCAAAGTGAATTTTTTTTTTATACAAAAAAGACTCTAGTTTATTTGCGTACCATGAATTTAAACACAACAAAATATTTACATGCAATTTGTCTTTATATTAATATTTATCTTTATTATATATTCTTATATACTTTATTATTATTATTATTATTACTGTTTATGATTGACGATAGAGAAATAAAATAAATATGTTATTTTTGAGCCAACTAGTCGGTTTATTGTCGGCTTAATTGTTAAATCCATAATTTGATTGCCAAATTCTTGGTATAAAAGAGAAACTATCCTTACCATGATTGGATGAAATGTTGTGCATCGTCTCTAGAAATATATTAAATGCATTATGGAATGTCAATAAAGGTGATTTGTTTGATTTTATGTTATTGTTTATAAATACATGAAAATTAAAAATGTTTAAAAATGTTACAATTTTAAATTTTAATATATATTGGGTTTGAAAAATGGTTTGCACCAATCAATAAGCTTTATAAGATTTGAATTGTTGAAATTTTCTAACCAACCATGAACTCTAGTCGAAACCGCAACTTTTTTCTTCGTTTCACTCTAAAAAAAAAATATTGATTTTTTTCCTTTTATTAAATTTTTATAAAGGAAAGCTTTTATCATTTAATTTAATTTAATGAAATTAAATAATTTTGATAATTTAATTTTAAAATTTTCTATTTAAATTTATTAAATTTATGTAAATCACGAACTAAGTGTGCAACCAATCAACATGATCAGATACCAAATATGTTATTGACAATCAGAAATATTATAATGATAATATATTTGATAATCTTGCGATTTAATATTTAATATCGATGGAGAGACTAGTGAGAAGTTATATGATCACTTCAAATGATGCAACCGATGATTCTAATTCAATTGTTTCATCAATCGTGCAAAGTAAGATTGGTTTATCACCTTTTAGAATTAGAAAGGAATTAATAAAAGAATTTTTTAAAAAAAAAAGAATTAGAAAAAGGATTGGCATTCGTGATATGGAATATATAAACAATATAAATTCATCTGCTTCCTTTAGACATTTGGAGTGGCCAATTATCGTTGCTTGCATTAGTTACAACACTCGAAGAATTTTTGACTAGTGAAGAATCATCGATTCGAGCTAAAGGTAATTATTAATTATTATTATTATTTTATAAATTATGATGTATATGTTATATGTATATTAATAAGATTAATTGAATTTTAATGAATTTAAATCAATAGGCACGGGACTTTTATCAGCTGTTCTAACAGAATGTCCCCAAGAACAAGTGAATTTAGCAGCTGGTATTTTATTATTCAATTATTATACAATTATTTATTAAATACAAAATTTAATGTTGGATAGTAATATAAAATAATATAAATAATAAGATTATTTTAATTATTTCAATTTAATTATGTATTATTATTCCGATATTATAATTTCACTTTATGTTAACTTTTAAGAATCTTCCTCTAGTCAATGTGTTGGTAGATTTCTATTGTGAAAGATTATCCGATACAACTTGTGTTCCGGAACTTATTCGTGGTCTAGTATCTATTTCACAATTTAATTCTTTCCAAGAAGAATGTGCCATTAAAGTTTCAAAATCGTATGTAAAATTATGTGTAATTATGTGTAATTATGTGTAAATTATTTAAATCAATTGTAAAATTAATGTAAATAAAGATAGAATTATTTATTCATTATTTATTCACTATTTATTTATAAATTATTAGAATTTTTTCAAATGTGAATGTTCAAAATTATCAACAAACAACGCGTCATGGAGTATTTCTAATATTTGATGTGTTATTAAATAGTCATTTAAATGGTAAAAAAAAAAAAAAAAAAATCAATTTGATCATTATTTATTATTTATTATTTCTAATTTCTAACTTTTTAATTTTGATTAATAATAAAGCATGCAAAAAATTAGGAACTGAATTTGTTAAAGGATTTATTCAAGCTATGGATGGAGAAAAAGATCCAAGAAACCTATTATTGGCATTTTCTTTGGTTAAATTAATTATCAAAGAATTTGATATATCTGAGCATGTAGAGGTACTGGATAAATATAAATAAATATATATTTATTTATTTATTTATTTATTTATATTTTCTGTTATATTTTTTTAGATTTATATTATATTTATTTTATATTTTTAGATTTATATTTATTGTATATTTTTATATTTTAGGAATTGTTTGAAGTTACTTTTTGTTACTTTCCTATTACATTCAGACCACCACCAGATGATCCTTATGGAATTACTTCTGATGATTTGAAAATTTCATTAAGGTTGATTTACTTTACATTTAATTTAATTTAATTTAATTTAAGAATTATAATAACTTATATAAATTTCAAATTTCATATAGGGAATGTTTATCAGCAACAGCAAAATTTGCTAAAAATGCAATGCCACTTTTTTTAGAAAAGTTGACTTCTAGTTCTGGAAATGCCAAGGTATATAGAAATTTTAGAAATGTAAAAATATAGAAATTATAATTATTATAATTATTATTATTAATTTATTGATCATTATTATATTTCCAGAAAGATTCAATGGAAACTTTGGCAGCTTGTGCTCCAGTATATGGAACAGAAAACATTGTCCCTTATATTGATGATTTATGGGAATATTTAAAAGATGAGGTGAAATATTATTAATATTAATTTAATTTTAATTTATTTTATATATATATGTATACCACTATATACTTATTGTATCCACATTATTATGTATTATTATAATGTATAATAACATTTTCCTTTTTAAGATCTTTAATGCTAAAGATGATTCATTTGAAGTAATCGCTCTTGATACAATCCGTAGTTTAGTTGTAACATTATCAGCTGGAGTTATTGGAAAATCTGACCATTTACAACGATTTTTGAAAACAGTAGTCACTGAATGCATGGAAAATTTAAAAGTACCTGAACTTAAATTATCTAAGCCATGTGGAAGAATTTTAAAATATTGTGCAATGGCTTCTGGTAAATTTTAATTATTTTATATTTATTCATACATTCACTATTTATATATTTGTTTATTCACTATTTATATATTCACTATTTATATATTTTTATATATTCACTGGTTGTGTATTCATTAGTTTTATATCTATATTTATATTTATATTTATATTTATATATATTTAATTATATTTTATTTATTCTCACTAGCTATATAATTATAATATATTTGCTTATATTTAGATCCATCATATAATCTTATAACTCTTGCGACCTTTCATGGTTTATTTGATCAATATAAACATAGCGACTTAGCAACGAGGAAGAAAGCAATATTAGAAATATTAATGGAATTTATTGTTGCTGCTCAAAATCTTTATGGAACAATTGAAAGAAATAATGATTCATTAATCGAATTAGGTATTTTATTTTTGTATATATTTTTAAATATTATATATATGTATTTATAATTATTTAATATTTTTATATATAAATTATATGTATATAGATGAAGATTTCTCAATTCCATTAATATCATTTAAGAATGATCTTTTAAGAATATTTAGTTCAGCATTAATGAAAACTGAAGAATATAATGAATTACGACTTTGTGGTTTACGAGGATTACATGGAATGATTCTATTGAGACAATTTTTATTAGATCATGAAATTGAAGATATTTTGAAATATTTTAATCAAATAATTCTCATTCAAGATAATGATCAAGATATTATGTAAATTATTATTATTATTATTATTATTATTATTATTTTAATAATTTTTTTAACATTTATTCGTTAATTTGTTAGAAAAGAGACGTTAAAATATTTAGGTGATATCGCACATTATAAACCTTTTACAGTGTTAAAAATTACAATCCCAATATTTATATCTCAACTTCCTTCCAATTATGAATCGTTAAAACTTGATGATATTCATGGAACTAAATATTCTAAAGTACTTGATGCAATTTCTGAAGTTGCTATTGAAAAAGTTATATTTGAAGCTTTAGTACCTGAAATTCTTGCAAAATTGGATGGTGTTAATACTTGTAAATATTTATTACTTATTTCTATATATTTATTCTCTCCATATATTTATATATATATATATATCTTTCTATATATCTCTCTATATCTCTCTCCATATCTCTTTCTATATATATCTCTCTATATATTTCTTATATATTAACGAAAAATTTATTCTTATTTTAGTTTCATCAAATTTAAGTATAGAATACATAGAATTCTTATTACATACTCTTCATACATTATTCATTAAAAAATCATCTTTAAATCACGACGATATTTCAAAATATTCAAATATTTTGATACCTCACCTTATTTCAAAATGCGTGGGTCCAACTTTAGAAATAAGAAGTAAAAATCATGATGATAAAGGGGAAGAATATTACGGTGACGTTTTTTGTGATTTGAAGATTATTCAAACTATTGCGGGAATAATTTCTATAATAACAAAGAATATGAATTCTAGGTATAAAATATTTTTAAAAGAATAAAATTTGTTGTAATTAATTAATTTAATTAATTAATATTTTGATTTAAAACTTTTCTTCTTCTTTATTATTATTATTATTATTATTATTATTATTATTATTATTATTATTATTATTATTATTATTATTATTATTTATTATTATTATTATTATTATTATTATTATTATTGCTGTTGTTGTTGTTTTTGTTGTTGTTATTATTATCATTATAATTTGATTATTACTATTTCTTTATGCATGCATCAGAGAACAGACAATGTTTATCACTCAAATATTCGAATTATTTACTCAAGGAAATTTACAATTTATTCCTTTTTCAGAAATAGAAAAGAACAAACATGCGATTGCATTCAATCCGCTTATGGTATTAATTAATTAATTATTTATTTATCTATTTATTTTAATAATATTTTTATTTATTTAGTAATTATAATTAAATAATCCATTTATTTTATTTAATAATAAAAAAAAATTTATTTAATAATAATAATTTATTTAATAATAATAATTTATTTAATAATAATAATAATAATTTATTTAATAATAATAATAATAATTTATTTAATAATAATTTATTTAATTTTAGATTGAATCGAGTTCAGCTCAAAAGAATTTAACTTTATTATTTACTGCTGCCGTTGGTTATATGAGACAAGAAGTTTCATGTCCCATACCAAATATTTCTGATTTTCTTTCAAGAATTGTGAATGCTTCATTACTATCCAATAATGAAATACATCAAAATTCTTTGGCTCAATTGACTGCTTCAATATTGAATAAATGGAATCAAGAAAATGAATTAGAGAATTTTATTAAAATTCATATGTTGGATGAATTGGTTAGATATTTATCTTCTCCTTCGTCTATTGGAGAATCGGAATCTAATAGAATTGCTTCATTAAATATTTTTATTTGGGTAAATCTTTTGACAACATTATAATTCATCTCTCTGATCTTCTTTAATTGATTCTTTGATTAATTTTATTTTGATTAATTTTATTTTTAATTAATTCATTTTGATTAATTCTTTAACATAATAATAGTTAACGAAGGCATTAGTCTTACGTACTCATCCGGCTGGATACGAATGTATAAATTATATCATAAATTTGTTCAATGATGATACATTAGGAAAAAAAGCATCATCTGATGGATTTAAAATAATTATTGGAGATAGTGATTTACTAAATAAACAAAGTTTTGCCGTGATAAAGGTATTCTTATAATGATATTAGCAAAATCTTATATCATATCATAGTCATAACTATTTTCTTTTCTTTTTTTTTTTTAATTTGGAAATTTATTTTATTTATTATTACAGATTCTCTATAAGCAACGATTTTTTAATTATGTAATGCCTAAATTAGTTCAAGGATTTACGGAATCATCTGGCGGTATTTATTATTTTATTTTTAGCTGATGTTAATTAATTAATTATTATTTATTTCTTATTTATTTCTTGTATTTAATTATGTCACTTTCTTTTAACAATTAGATACAAAACATAATTATCTGATCGCTTTATCTAATTTATTACGAAATATCCCAAAACAAATTTTAATGAGTGAAATTTCCCCCGTATGTATTTTTATTTTTATTATTATTATTATTTCTGGTGCATTTTTCTTATATCTATTGTAATATTTTATTATCCGAAGAAATCATAAAAAATTATAAATTAAAGTGTTATTGCTTTCTTTAGGTATTTCCTTTATTAGTTCATTCCTTATCATTACCTGATCCTGATCTCAAAGCTTCTACTATTGATACCTTTTATTTAATTTCACTTGAAATGCCACATATAATATCTGAACATGTTTCAACTTTAATACCTTTATTGTTATCTTTAACTAACGTGGAAGGTGGAAATACGATTGTAGGTTTATTTTATTTTATTTTTTTTATATTACATTATATATATATATATATATATTATTCACATATTTATTTATTTTGTTATTATTATTAATAGAAAGTTCGTATGGCAGCATTACAATGTCTAAGTGTATTTCCTGATACCGTTTCATTTGACGTATTATATCCTTTCAAATCAAAGATTATAAGAGATTTGGAAAAAGTCTTGGATGATAAAAAACGAATAGTTAGAAAAGAAGCTGTCAATTGTCGTAGTAGATGGTAAAATCAAAATATATTTATTTCATAATGATTTTATATTGAATTTTATATTTCTTTTTTATATTTATATTTATTTTAAATTTTCTCTTTTCTTTTAAAAAAAAAAAAGGTTTTTGTTTACTGGACCTAAATCAAGTTAATTCAAAATTCAATTCACAGTAATTCCAGTAATTCGATACAATAACAGTACAATAAAATGTCATTTTGGGGGGTCATTAAATAATTATTTATTATATTATTTTTATTATATTATTATTCCATTATATTATTAATTGTCACTGTTATTATATTTTCATAATTTAAAATAAAGTCAAGACTTTCCTATAAAAATAATTATAATCCCTTTAATCTTACTTATAAAGAGGCAAGACGCTAAATCAGTTTATGTTTCGTGATATGATATATATATAGGTTGTTCGGGATATAAAACTAGTTTAGAACTGGTTCTTTTATTAACGTCTCGATCTGAATCTGAATGTTTATCTTGTTATGCATAAAAAATTTATAAATTCGACCGATAACTAGTGTAAAAGAGGGTAAAGTATCGTTTTTGATGCTATTCTTATTTAATGTGACAATTATTATCATGTGCGGAATAATTGTGATTGATTTTCAAATTTTTTAGCACTATAAATATATTTTCTAATTTTTGTTCTTTTGGATTAGTATAAAGTTTTGAAAGTAAGCGGTCGTGAAAACAAAATCTATAATGTTCTAACTTACAACTAGCAAGAATTTAATGATCCCGTCCAGATTACTCCATTCCTTCAACTTTTTTCTTTTATTAATTTATTATTATAATCAAATTTTTTCTTGAGAAAAAAAAAAATATTACTGACTTTTAAAATTTAATGATTAAAAAAAAAATAAAACATCAAATTTTTTTTATTATGGCCTAGTAAAGTGAGTGAATATAGAAATATTTTACATATAGATATATTTTATGTAAAACAAAGATTATAAAATGACAATCTCAAATTTTGAACTTTGATGTTTGAATATTCCCATTTTTAATGAAAAAATAAAGTTATCCTATCATCTGTTTCTATCCATTCACTATAACTATTATTTTTATCACATGCTAAGGGATTATAACCTCTAAGTATTTCATCTGATCCTGTAACTATAAATACTGTCGTAGAATAAGTAGTTGTTTTATGATCAAAAAAAAATGATAGTTGAGAGAGGTTCTTTTGATTCATTTGCACGAGGAAGCAATTCTGTAACCAAAGCTGAAAAATAGATTATCCAAACCCTAAATATAACATTTATTGTCTGACATGATTATACTTTAATTTTATATCTCTTCTCGACCGAATAAGAATATTATGTGTCGGAAGGATCAGCTTAAAGAATTAATGTAACCAAAAATGGGTATGAATTATATTTTGTTTGTTTGTTTATTGATCATCATCATTACAGCATAATAAGATAGTTAACATTTAAACATTTCTTTTTGACATTTCTTCTCTCTTTTTCTCTCTTTTTTTTCTCTCCTTTTCTCTCTTTTCACTCTTTTCATTACATATAATTTTCAACAATAACAACAACAACAATAATAACAATGGATCCATTAGAATCATCAACAATCTTTGAACGGGAACAATTTTTATCAGCAAATAGTACTTTCATTGATGAAGAGAATGAAGATAAAGATGATAATAGTGATAATGATTCTTTATCATCTGATGAAAAAGGTTTTTTACCTGGTATTATTGAAGATGAAGATGAAGGTGAAGATGATTTTATTGTTATTAGTGGTGGTGGTGATGAGAAAGAATCATCTTGTGGAATAACAGGATTAGAAGGAATTATTGAAAAAATCGGATATGGAAAATTTCAAAAACGATTGTTGGTTGGTAGATAAAAATTATTTAATTTATTTATTTATTATAATTGATAAAAATTAAATAAATTAATATTTTTTATATCTGTTAAAAAAGGGACTTTGTGGGTTTGGATGGCTTGCTGACAATGTAAGAATTTTCTCTATTTTATTCAAATTTTTTAAAATTTCTTAAAATTTTCTTTTAAAATTTCTTTTCTTTTTATTTAGTTATGGTTTCAGGTATTATAATCTTCAACCTTTATGCTAAAAAAAAAAAGTAAAAGATATGAAATATTATTAGCACAATTATGCACAATAATAATAATAATAATAATAATAATGATGACAATAAAAAATAATAGGCAATATCAATTATATTACCAAGAGTCCAAAGTTAGTAAAAGTTTTTTTTTAATAATAATTTAATAATATTTTTAATAATATTTTTAATAATATTTTTAATAATATTTTTAATAATATTTTTAATGATTTATAATAATGTAATTATATTTTTTTAAATAATTATTTGATTTTGTATTTTTTATATTTACAAAGTTCATTTCCAAGTATCAAATTCAATATTAGGATTACTACCTAGTGCTATTATTTTAGGAATGATGTTTGGTGCAATATTTTGGGGCGTTTTTTCTGATACATTTGGACGTAAACAAGCTTTTAATTGGACTCTCATTTTAACGGCATTTTTTGGTTTAATTTCAAGTTTATCACAAAATTTTTGGCAATTGTGTTTAGTAATGTTTTTATTAGGAACTGGTGTTGGAGGAAATTTACCGGTTGACGGTATATTATGAGAATTATTTTGTTCATAATTATTATTTTTTTTTTTTACTTATTTATTTTATTTATTTAATTATTTTATTTTGTTTATTTAATTATTTTATAAATTTTATATTTATTTTTTCTATTTATGTTTTTTCTAGGTGCAATTTTTCTTGAATTTGTGCCCAAAAATCAACAATATCTTCTAACATTTATGTCAATATTTTGGTCATTTGGAGCTATTATTACTTTAATTATAGCATATTTTATATTGCCATCAAACAGTTGTCCTGAAACATCAAATCCACCTTGTGATGTTTATACTCATAATAATGGTTGGAGATATTTATTGGCTATTTGTGGTTTTTTGGTATGCAGTAATTGAAATAATTGAAAATAATTGAAAATAATTAAAAATAATTGAAAATGAAAATAATTAATATTTCATTTTAATTTTAGACATTATTTATGCTTATTTGTCGAATCTTATTTTTTGGATTAAAAGAATCACCAAAATATTTAATTGCACGTAATAGAAAAAATGAAGCAGTAGATATATTGCGTGAAGTTGCTCGTATTAATGGTTCTGAAGTTACCATCAATGTTAGTGATTTAACAATATCAAATTTGGATAGACGACATGATCACCCATCTTCATATAATAATTTCTTTTCAGAACCTATAACTTTTATCAAAAAAAATTTTAGATATTTTATTTTAGAATTACAACCTCTTTTTGCTCCTAAATGGATTCGTACAACTATACTCGTATGGTCTTTCTGGGCTCTTAATTCATTTGCTTATAATATGTTTAGTACCTTTTTACCTGAATTTTTGGAATTTCAAGAAATGAAAAATGAATTTAAATCAAATCTCGATATTAGTGGTAGTAATTTTAGTACTGTTAGTAATATTAGTGATATTAATAATATTAGTAATTTTGATAATGGAAATGGAGATATTGACATATCTAACGTAATTAGACAAGTAATAAAAGAATTTATAATATTTTCAGTTTGGGGAATACCTGGAACATTAATTGGAACTTATTTAATCGAAACGTCTTTAGGTCGTATATATACTATGTCACTAGGGGCATTTGGTTCTGCATTATCTGTATTTCTTTTTACTATATTTGATTCAAGGATCGGAACTGTCACTTGTAATATTCTCTTTAATGTTTTAGTTACAATTGAATATGCTGTAATTTATGGTTATACTGCCGAAGTTTTTGAAACAAAAATAAGAGGAACTGCAAATGGTTTTGCTTCGGCTTGTGCAAGAATGTAAGTACTTTTTATATATACAGTCAGACCCCTCTATAGTCACACCCCTCTATAGTCACACCTTCGGGATACAAAAAACCGTGACTATATAGAGATGTGACAATTATAGAGGTTTTTTTTACATAGAATTAATAGGCGTTGGTTTTATGAAAGGTGTGATTATAATGATTTTGTGACTATATAGAGTGTGACTATAGAGGGGTTTGACTGTAATTTCTGTATGGTGTTTTCAATAATATTTAAGAAATATTTTAATTAATTAATTATTCAAAAATTATTCAATATAGAACTGGTATGCTGGGTCCAGTGATTGCTGGAAATCTTATAGCGATTAGTAATACATTGCCATTATATGTTTCTTCTATAATTTTTGTATTAGTAGGAATTTGTATGACTTTATTACCTATTGAAACTCGAGGTAGACAAGCATTATAAATATTATAAGTATAGTTGAACTTTTTTTTTTTAAAAAAAAAAAAAAACATTAATAATGTGTATTGGTTAGTTTTTCATTAATTTGTAACTTCCATTGTATCAAAAATTTTCAAGAATGCCTAAAAATTTGATTAAAACATTAAATAAATTACTTTCTATTTCATTTCGTATTAGATTTCGATTTATAAACAATTTTCAACATGTTTTGCTTTTTTTTTTTTTTGATTTTCTTAATAATTTGTTATAAAATTTATTTATATTAAATTCACAATCTATTATGCTTTTGTATTTATAGATGGTCGATATATGAAAGAAACGCGTATTATTTTAATTAATTCAATTCACGAACAGACCGTTTTCATTAGGAACTTCATGAATGGTTTTTTACGTTCTTCAATAGAGTTTATAAATTATTTTATTCGGATAAAGATGCAAATATTCAATTTACTCTTTTGTGTAAGCGATTAACACCACGTGCACAATCACACACTAAAATTACGTAATCTTAAATCAATATAAAAGATTACCTTTTCCCCAAAAAAAATTTTTTTCACTTTTTTTTCACTCTTCACTCTTTCTGCTGGTATTTAATACTAGCTAATTTATCTTCTTTTTACGTTGTCAAAGAAAAAAATTAAGTAAAGCGTGCGTAAGGTTAGTTTCTACATCATTTTAAAAGTAAGATTTTATATGAATATTAATATCTCGTTTTTATCCTACCAAAGGTTGCCAATCGTGTATTTCGATTGTATTATCCGACAAATGAGATAAGGATCTAAATGATGAAGACTTAGGTAATTATGTAATATTCAGTTTCTATAAGCTTTTGGTTCAATACATGGAAACAATTCTATTTTCATTCGTATGAACCTTACGATCATCATCAATCGTTCTTAATAATGATGGATCACCGATTTTCTGTAGTCCCAGTATTTTATCTATGGGTTCACTTGATTATAATTAAGATCATGGTATTTAAAGTCTTGATGATACAGAAGGGCCACGGAATGATACCGTAGAAAATCAGTCATTACCTTATTGCTTAAAAGAAAGTTTTCAACTGTGTAAATGTATTTTAGTGTAAATATTCTGTAAATATTGTAAATATGAATTTTTAGTGTGTAGCAATTGTAGTGATTGTATAATAGCATTTCATTACAGTCGAACCTCTCCCCCTCTAAAGGCACCCTGTATAAGAATTCCGCCTCTTATAATCATACATTGTTTGGTCCCTGTATATAAGGGACCATATTAAAATTCCCTCGCTATAAGAACACTCTTTAGTCACAACATTCGTTGGTCTTGAGGGTTGTGCCTATAGAGGGGGGTCGACTGTATATATAGAATAGCTTAATTTTAATTCGGAGGATTTATGGAAATTTTATTATGGCGGACTCTTAAAACTTCGATAAATGGATTTGTGCGATCTTCAGTTGCCGATCTTTAGTCTTAGTAATATTCGCACGTTTCTTTAAGGGTTTTTCAGAAAAATTATATTATTCAAGATTCTCTTTAAATTTTGGAGATTTTAATGTGAATCTATCAAGGGAATGCCAATCAAGGCCCTGATGGGTCTTGAGGTCTTTGCAAATCAAAGAATTATTGAAAGTTCGCTGATCTTTCTAGCCTTCAAAACTTATTTATATTTTATTTTTATGAATCAAAAAAGATATGATCTCCCAGTTTTCCAATTTTTCTCTTGAGATATAACTTTTTTTGATAAGGATCAATTTTTTTTGATTCGCGAATTTATAGATAGAATTGGGAAACTATCAATTATGCAATTGATGCTCATGGGAAAAATAGGTTAGTACAGCAATTTGAACAGTTAGTACATTATAATTATTAATATTTTTTTTTTTAGTTCAAATATAATATGCTCATATCATTGGTTTTATTACGTCAAATTGCTATCATTATTTAATGATTTAAAAGGATATAATAACGTGATCTTATCTCATTATTTTTACGTTGATCGATTTTGATTATCATCAAATTTATTTTCTCTCTCGTTTCTTCGTCAGAAGTTTATATTTTGTCAAATAGTGGGCAGGCAAGTAAATATTATTTGGTAGTAACCCAAAAAATATATTTTTCACGTACGAAATAAATTGTATATATTTTTACTTGCGAAATAAATCATATATATACATTTATAAGTTAAATAAAAAAATTTTAAAAAAAAAAAATTACTTTTTTTTTGCTTTTGTTACACAGCACTTTTTCTTCTTTTTTACGTTCAATATGTCCGATCTTACCTCTGATATTCCTTTTGAATCTCAACAAACGCGCGTAGCTGGACAAATAGTTCCTGACGTTAATGACGGTCGAGCTTGTCCCGGAAATTTAGACCTTAATAATGGAACTGAAGATCAGAATGATAAAGGAATCGGAGATCTTATAGATCTTAATGAAACTGTAATCGTAGAGGTTAATAAAATTGAAGACATAGATAGAAGCACAGGGAACAATGAAAATTTAGATATTGAAGAAGAGAACTGGGAAGAAAATAAATTTAGGGATGAAGGTGAATGTAAATCAAATGAGTGCATTAATGTTTCTGTTGAGCAAAAGGGTGAAGAGGCAAATATATCTTACGAACAGAAGAACGTAGAGGAGAATGAACGAGACCATTTTAATGATGCGAAGAGCGTAGATGTAGATGGTGATAAAGATGAAAAACGTGGTGATGAACATGACGCAGAAGTTTATCAAGATAATTCTTCAGTATTGGAAAACTTCTATCCGGAATCGAAAAACGAACAATCTCATGAAGAAATTATATGTCAAGTTGACACAAAAATTACGGAATGCAAAACAGAACTTAATCAACAAATTTCAGAAAGTGGCTCAAAAATCTCTACATTATTTACACTTTTAAATCAAAAAGATGAACAGACCCAAGATATGTTTCAATCATTAAAGAACGAAAATAAAGAATATGTAGATAATGCTGTTAGCTCGACACAAAAGTTTTATGAAAATATTAACACGAAAATTTCCGATCTTAAACTTTCTTTTGTACAAAAGTCTGAAATGAATGAATCATTGCAAAAAAGCATTGAAGATGTGAACCAAAAAATTACGTCAAGCACCGATAACCTTGATAGTAAAATTGAAGAACTCGAAGATCAATTAAGTGATCTAGAAGGTCGCGATGAACAATTGGAGAATAGTCTCTCAACAGCGATAGATCAATTACGAGAAGAAATTGAATCATCGGTAGACGGAATCACGAAACGACTTGCAGAAGACAGAGCAGCCAAATGGCACCAAATTGTTGAGGCAGTAAAAGAGGAAGCTCAAAAAATTATGGAGCGTATTGATATAGTAGAGTCTTGTGAAGGTATTTTGAGAAAAGAATTGGAAGAAAATTTCAATATGAATAGAAAAGGGATAGAAGAAGTTACTTCTGAGCAAAGTCGTTTGAAGAATGAAATGGAAATAAACAACAAATTAAATAAGAAAATGATTGAAGAAATTGCTTCTGAACAAACAATTAATGAGAAATTTCATAAAGCGATTAATTTAAATATTCCCGAATTTTTCGAAAAAGTGAAAAAACAAATTGAAGAAGTAATACAAAAATATGAAATAAAACTTAATGATTTCAAGAATGAATGTAATAAAGAACAAGAAGAATTTATGGAAAAAATTAGAATTATGTCAGAAAAAAAGATGCAATTTTATGAGGAGGAAATCGATCGATTAAAAAATTCAAAACGTTCAATGAAACAACTGTTAGAAAAAAAAGACGTTGAAATTAATGGTCTTAAAGTTAATGTAGCTCAATGTGAAACTTTAAATTATAAATTGGAACAAGAGAAAACAGTTTTGGAAAGTAATTTAAAGGAACAGGAGGTTCGATTTTATGAATTTGATAAACGATATCGTAATAAACAACTTTCGAATGAAGAGGAATTAAACCGAACCAAAGATGCAAATATTAGACTTGAACGACAACTAAATATTGTTAAATCTAAGAAGAAATTATATAAAAGATGGATTTATTTTCTGATCTCGTTTCTTATTGTTTCAATTGCATACATTTTCTTGTAAGTTATCAATTATTTTATTTATTCATTCTTCCATCAGATTTTGACATTAATAAATTTTTAAATTTTAATTTTTTAGCGTGTCTTTTGATAATAGTAACTTACTTTACCATTTTACCATGGGTCAAACACCTTAAATATATACCAGGCGATATACAGTAAATAATTTGCAATTCAACTTTTGAATTTCAGTGAAAACATTTTGTATTTGCTTAAAATTAGTAAACATTTTGTGTTTGCTTAAAATTAGTTAAAATATATTTTGAATATTTTTGTTAATGAAAAAAAAATTGGAACCTTGAAAAAAAAAATGAAATTTAAAGAAATTATTTTTTCATATTAATAATAAAAGTTGCTTCTAAAAATATATATATATATATATATAATTTTCTAAATTTAAATTTCTAATGACCTACGCGATAATTATTTTGAATTTCGAAAATCTAATCGTATTCGAAAATCAAATAAACGATTTTTTTAATTCAAACAATAACAAAAAGTAAAGTTAAAAGGTAAATTAATTTTATCAATTTTGTGTTATTAATTTCTATATCCTTTTCTTTTGATAATGCAAATTTACAATATATTTTATTTCATATTTAATAATTATATATTTATATATAAAATTTAATTAATGAAGAACTAATTTTTTTAACTATTTAACCTTCAAATAGATTCTACTAAAACGTAATACTTTAAATATAGCTCATACAAATAAAAGCAAAGACAAATAGATCCAATTATCAACGTTGCCAACCCTATAAAAGCCAATGGTCCTAAATACTTATTTTCTTTAATCAAGCTATTTAATTCTTTATCGATTTCTTGACCAGAACTTTTCAATTGATCATTTTCGCGTCTCACTTTTTCTTTAAACATATAATTAATTAATTAATTAATTTCATTTATTTAATTTATTTAATTTATTTATTTAATTAAATTTGATTTGATTTATTTATTTTTATACCTAATTCAGCTTTTAGTTTTCGAGGACTTTCGACTTTATTTGAGTTTAAACGGCTTCTAGCTCTAAAAGACTTGCCTTCGTCTAAAGTAAATATTGAGGGAAGACGGTCACGTTCTTTTGGTTCTTTTTGAGCTTTCATTTTTTTTCTTTTTACGTTTATAATTGTAAAGGTATATATAATTATAAATTTTGAATTTGTAAATTATATATTTAGGAATATAGTGAATTAGAACCAAATTTATGGCAAAATAAGAGTATATATGAATGAAGATATAAAAGATATAAGGGCGAGCGTAATTAAAAGTTGTTCCTTTTGTCACAGGATTTAAAAAAAAAAAAAAAGTTTTGATATAAACTTGCGCGTGGAAACAATTTTATCGACAAATAACTGTTAAAGAGAAGAAAGAATGCTTATTTAATAATAATAATAAAAAAAAGTTTCTTATTTATTTATTTATTGAGATGAGCTAAATGGGGTAAATGAACACGCGTAACATTTTGCACAGTAAATTTCGAATGATTCTGTGTAACAATTTGTCATTTATAGAAAAAAATTTTTTTTTCTAATTTAATATATTGATGGCTTCTAAACTTCCACCAGAATGCTTACAAGAAATATTTGGATTTCTTAAAAACAAGAAAAAGAAAAATTTCAATCTATTTTCTTGTCTTTTAGTTAATCGTTATTGGTGTTCTAATGCAGCCAGTGTACTTTGGAGAAATCCTACACATTATCCCAAATCTCTGATAAAGACGTATATAAAAGGTCTTCCAACTGAATCAAAAATAATTTTAAAAGATAAAGGAATTATTCTACATGAAACTGAACTGGACGTTACGACATTTTTGAATTATGCATCATTTATACGTATCCTAAATTTGAATAAATTTTACGATAAGGTTTCTTATATTGTGTGCAATGAAGTTCCATATCAAAACAAATATGTTTGTTATCTTCTTTATTTTGAACTTTGTAAACATTTAGTTAAACAAAGTTCCAATATTGATTATCAATATGAAGCTATGTCTTTAGGATTTTCTCCATTTTCCACTAAAATAATTAATTTTATTACTGAATCATCACATCTTCAATCTTTGGAGTGTAACACAATGAATACATCAGAAGAATTTAGTCAAATTAGTAAAATATTTTCATCAATCGGAGAATTAATGATTAGCTTTAATAATGATGGAAAAAATCCAGCTCTAATAAATCTCATTAATGGATTAGAAAATTTAGAGATTCTAAAAATTCGAGGTCATGCTTATAAGTCAAGTATAAGTGGTTCGTCAGATATTTATAAAGCTTTACATGAGAAAGTTTCATCTCTGACTTGTTTAGATATTAAGATATCAGGTAATATGCCATTATCTTGGTTAAGTGGAATAAAACAATTAGAGGAATTAAAATTATATTGTATGGAATTTATACGTCCCGAGGATACGAAGAAAATTTTAGCGCAAGTAGCTGATAAATTATTTGTTAAAGAACTATTAGTTTTGGATATTAATGTTGAATCCTTAGTCGCAACTCATTTGGGAACAATATTATTAGATGTTGGAAGCAGTTTACAAGAAATGTCATTACGTTTCGGTAGTGTGAGCGATCCGGAAAATTTAAATTCATTAGAAGAACACATTATGAGATGCTCAAATTTACTTAAATTTAAGATTAGTGCCACAACTCAATTTATTCAAAATCTACCACAAATATTAAAAAGTTTAAATAATTTAAAAGAATTGTTTATTTTACCCTCAAGTTCACTTGATATTAGTGAATGGATGTTACAATTAGGACAATCAATTACACCAAGTTTACGCAAAATTGTATTTGATTGTGGAAGCGAACATAAAATTGGGTTTGATTTTAACATTGAATCATTATCTGATTTTTTAAATGCATGCGAAGAAAATTCAGTCAAAAATCTTTTATTTGTAATAAAGAGAAGGAATAAGGAAATATCAGAAACGACTTTCGATAATTTATTGAGTAAATTTGTTAATTCTGGAACTTTAAACGAAAATTTTAAAGTTGTTTTTAGATAATCTTAATTATTCTAGTTTAACAAAGATTATATGACTTTTTTTTTTTTTTTTAAAAAAAAAAAAAAAAAAAAGGAATTTTAAATGTATTGATTTTATTTTATTAATAATAAAGTTTATCAATTTTATCATATAAACAACATGAATATTTATTATTCATAAAAAAAAATAATATAACTAACATAAACTAATATAACTAAAATAACCGTCGCGTGTCATGTATATTTGTACACTTTAAACTAATCATAATGATTACATCTTACAATTTTAAATTTATAAATAATACATGGTAATCCTAATATTGCAACCCGTAAAAACTCTATTAATAGCATCTTTAACAAATTCCAATTTTAAACAATCAAGACCAGTTCCTAATCTAAACAATTGTTTTTTAGAAAAAGACAAATGATTATTATTATAATAAAAAATAATAATCTTATCTAAATAAAAATAATATATATATATATATATTACCTGGGTACACTCAAACCTTGAACATTCAACTTTTCACATAAATTTCTTAAATCAATTAATGATTTCTCAAAATCTTCTTCAGTAGGTTTATCATTAACATTAGATTTTGTAATCAAATAAAAAATATAACGATTTCCTCGAAGAAGATAAGCGACTTGTCCAACTTGTTTTTTTTGAGCAATAAGATCATCAACACCCCCATAATAATCCTTGAATTTTATAGCAATACCTTTACCCATACGTATATCTTTAGAAATACAGTGAGCTAATGCATCATTTTTGTCGGAATTATCAAATAAATCACCTTGAATTTCTTTAAATGAAAAATTTGACATTATTATATCTATTATATTGTATTATATCTCAAAGTTATTATTATTTTGAGTTATTTATTATATAGTAAGATGAGAGTGAGGTAATTCTTAGAGAAAAAATTGTATCTTGAGAGAAAATATATCAGAATGTTTTTAATTTATCTAAAATTGAAGATTTCAAATCATGTGAAAATATCCGTCATTTTTGAAATAAGGATAAAAGTGCTAAATTCTACTCATTAACATACCATTCATAATAAAAAAAACACTATAAATGGACCAAAAATCACCTTAAAAGATGAGAATTCTTGAATATGTTAGAAATAAATTTACCGTATTTGGTATATTAGTTCGGATAATTTTATGTGTATTGTTTCTATTGTTTCGCAAACTAACTTATTTTAGTTACCATATATATTACTATAAATGGGATTTTGAATCCTTTTTTTTTTTTTTTTTTTTTACCAACGGAGCCCTTATCTAATTATCAGATTTATCATCAAATAATATAGTAATAATTGAATAACATTGAGGCGAAGTTTCCCTGGTGTTAGAAATAAAGAATGAAATTATTGAATTGATTTTCGTTCATAAACTGGACAAGCGTTAAAAAAAAATAATAATAATAAATAATAATAATAAAGAAATGATTGAATTGATTCTCGCTTATTAAGCATTTATTTGAAAGATTTTTGATTTCTTATTACGGATAGTACATTCATCTCATTGTACTTGTTATACAAATAATTATATTTTATAAATAACTTAAAACTTTCTATGGAATAATTCTTTTTCTTTTTTTTCTGGATTTCAAAAATAGAGAGCAAAATGAATATATATACTATTGAAACTGTGTTTATTGCGTAATGAATTAATTAGATATATTTAAATAAAAATAATAGAAAATAAATAAATAAATATAAAAATTTTAATAAAAACTATATTCCAAACAACGAATTTATTTATTTATTTTAAAAGAAAAAATCAAAGTTTGATAAGTTTAATAACAATTGTACCAACTGTATAACAACCGTACCGTATAACCAACATAACCAACATCATGAAGAAGGAAGCTATTCAGGACCATAAATTTGATTTCGTAAATGTTTATGACTTTGAAAAAAAGGATTGTCTGCATAAAATGAAATATAGTAAGATATTTTTTATCGTCTTAAAATCTGTGCTGGTATATATCGCAGATCTGTGGACAGCTTGTGCTTTATTACTTACGGATAAATGGGGTAGCGCCATAAATCCCGAGATATCATTTTCAATTTCAAAATGGATTTTTGTCGGTTCAATAGTTATATCTTATATACTTTTGTTTTGGGAAATTAAAAAAGCTCATGCTATTGTTATTTCCGGAGATATTTCTTTCGCTTTTACCAATATGATCGCCTATCGATATTTTGCTTTAACGAGTTATGCTCATTGGTGTTTTTTCGAGGCGATAAGAGAGAGACAAAAAGGATTAGATAAAATTGCATTTTTCGTTTATTTTGCATTCAAAGGTATGACATATTCTTTAAATAATATGATTTCAAAATATTATTTATTTATTTATTTATTTATTTTGTTTTTTTTTTTCATTTCTATTTAGGGTGGAAACGTCTTCTACTTTGTGATGGGCCTCGCCAAGTGATTAATTTTATAACGATAATTGGTTTTCTAAAAAATATAAAGTTTTCAACTGATCCAGATAAATACGGTTCACTCTATGCAAAATCAGCTTTGGGAATTATGGCATTCACAGTTTCAATCTTCTTTATTTCTCTTAGCTTACTGTTATTCGCATTTATCCTATATTTACCTCTTCTTTGTTGCTATGTGAAAGGGAATTTAAAAGAATACTGTTGTCGCAAAATTGATAAAAGGTTAGATAAATTTTTATATTTATGGATAATTTTTTATACACTTATAAACTTTTGTAATATTAATCTTATAATAATCTTTATTGTTTAGAATTGGTGAACTTCTTAAGAAACAACGAGAAAGGCGTACAAGAATCGGAGCTAAAATTTATAATGGTTTGCAACCAACAATACCAAAAATTGATGATGATGATCCGCCTCAGAATTCTCAGGATCCTCAGGATCCTCAGGATCTGGGATATCCTAATCTGTTAGATCAAAAACAAAAACAAGAGGAATTTCTTATTTCACCTAAACCAGCAATTTATAATAATAATAATTTTAGTCCTAATTCTCATAATTCTTTAAATAGTGACAATTCTTTCTATCCTACTGACCCACACATACTAAAAAATGGAAGTGATTCATCAATCAGGAAGACAGATTATATTCAACAACCTATTCATGATCATCCTCAAATTTATGATCATCATCAAATTCATAACCATGATGGGCAACAAATTTATGACCGTAAAGAACCTATTTATAGACAACCAAATGATCCATATCAGCAAAAACCTTTGTCAATACAGAATAAAAATTATTATTCAAATACTAAAAAAGAATATTTTTATGATCCAATATCTTCGGATCAAAATCAAAATTCATATGGATTTGAAACGCAAGCCGAGCACAATATTTCACCCGTAAATATATCAAGTAATACTTACACAACACAAAATCCATATGTAATGGAAACGCCAATTGAGCACAATATTTTACCTGTAAATATTTCAAATAATACTTATCTAACTGATACAACACAAAATCCATATGTAATGGAAACGCCAATTGAGCACAATATTTTACCTGTAAATATATCAAATAATACTTATCTAACTGATACAACACAAAATCCATATGTACCAATTGAGCACAATATTTTACCTGTAAATGTATCAAATAACATTTATTTGACTGATACAACACAGATTAATTCTTCCCAATTTACAGAAACTTATCAAGATAAAGTTTTACCAAATATAACTTCAACATTAAATGCAACAACTATTACAACAAAGCATGAAACATCATTTCCCAACTTTATGCATAATCAAAATCATATAATTGAAGAAGATATAACTGAGCAAAGTTCAACAGTTATTAGTAGTAATGTTAGTATTAACAGTGAAGGAAGTAATGGAGGGCCTATAATTACTCTCAATAATAGTCCGCCATTATCGCCATTAATTGGTAGATATAGTACCGATCGTAAAACGAAACGAATCTACAGCAACTTTAGCAATTATAAATTACAAGGTGGTGGAAAGTAAAGTAATAACAAAAAATTGAATAATCAACGTCCTAATTATAATATATATATATATATATATATATTTGAAAATTTGTGTAATAACAAAACATGTATAATTTTTATATTTATTTATTTTTTTTAAAAAAAAAAAATTGTATTTTTATTTTATTATTGTATACACACATCTTATATACTATTAATGTTACGTAAAAATTACTGGGTTATTAAATTTTAATATTTGAAAAAAAAAAAATATTACAATTTAGATACTAGCATTTCTGTTCTAAATTCATTATATTTTCTCTAAATTGTGTCTCTATGTCTTTATTGAATGAAGCCACCGGAATAACAATAATCCTTTCGTAGCGAGAATATTCATAAAATATATTATCTTGATTTACATTACTATCTTCTCGGATAATACAAATACGAATTAAGTTGGGTCCGGAGAACACTTTCGATTTAACTTAATTGGATTCTACAATGAAAATTATTGTTGATCAAAGTTAAAAAATTTCCTAATATAATCTTTAGATAATCTAGAACTCCTGAAAATTTTTAGTTTAGTACAAAATGAAATGCATGTTGACTTATAGAGTTAGAGTTCATATAAGTCGAATCAGCTGATGAGTGATGTTCGAATATTAATAAGAATTGAAAATCTTGCGTATATATAGTTCTTAATTCGAATTCAAGACTTTTTCAATTCGCATCCAAAATGTCTATATCTCAAGTTGTCAAAGACCTCAAAGGACGTCTTGATGGAAAAGTAGCAATTATTACTGGTGGAGGAAGGTACAAAAAATCCTGAATTGTTTTGGTTTTGAAATTTTTTTTTTTATTTTGTTTCGAATTCATACACTAATTTATTTAATTTTACTTTTCATTAAAATAGTGGCATTGGTTTTGAATCCTCTGTTTTATTTGTAAGGGAAGGCGCAGACGTGGTGGTCGCTGACATTAACCTTAAAGCTGCTGAGTTGGCAGTTGATAGGATAAAAGAGAAGTTTCCACTTCATGTTCATAAGCATGCTGTCGCATATAAAGTGGACGTTTCCAAGGAAGAGGAAGTTAAGAAATTGGTCGAATTTACTTTAAAACAATTTGGTAAGTTTCCTTCTTTCCATAATTAGTGCAAATAATTGTCAAAACAATTAATTATAATATTCTTACAATTTTTGTTGCGTGCTTAATTGAAATTCCTTTTGAACAAATAGGCAAACTTGATATTATGTTTAATAATGCAGGAATAATGCATCCTCATGATGATAATGCTCTTAACACTGACGAAAAAGTCTGGTAAGTGACAATTTTAATCGTTTTAATTTTTCCATATTATCCATATTATCTCGTTATTTTTATTAAAAATTTTGTTTGTTTCTCTCTTAATAAAGGGATGTTACAATGGATATCAATTTAAAAGGTGTTTGGTTTGGATGTAAATATGCAATTGAAGCATTCCGAAGAAAACCAAACAAATCAGGTGGTGCTATTATTAATACTGCAAGTTTTGTCGGTTTTCTTGGTTCTGCAACTCCTCAAATAGCATGTAAGTTAATAAGTTTATGAAAAATATTTCCTTTAAAAAAAGTTAACCATTTATTTTTAATTTCTAATAGATACTGCTTCAAAAGGCGCAGTCATTTCGATGAGGTATTTTTGTAAAAATCATAAATATGGAAATTCATTTTATAAATTGAATCATTTGTATTTTTATTATTTTAAAGTCGTGAATTGGCAGTAAATCATGCTCGAGAAAATATTCGCGTTAATTCTTTATGTCCCGGACCATTGCGAACCCCATTATTAATGGATTTTCTTAATACCGAAGAGAAAAAAAATCGTCGTCTCGTTCATGTTCCAATTGGACGTTTTGGTTAATAAAAATTTTTTTTTCGTAGTCTTTTAAAGAAATTTTAAATTTTTTATTATTATTAATTAGTAACAACAAATTCTTACAGGTGAGGCAATTGAACAAGCACAAGCTGCTTTGTTCTTGGCTTCAGATGAAGCATCCTACATCACAGGAACTGAATTAAAAGTCGATGGGGGTATTACGGCTGCTTATGTGGTTTGTATATCTTTATCTCTCGTATTGTCGATTGTCAGTTAATTATTCTAATTTTATTAATTAAATTGCTTTGCCTAGACTTCCGATGAAACTTGCGTTAGTATTCCACCTAAGAATTATTTCAAAACTCAAGTAGAAAAGAAGAAATAATAATAAAATATTTTTGGTTTTTATGTATTTATCTATTGTCGTAAATTTGGGAATTTTTTTTTTTATAATTTAATAAAATTAAATATTCAGAATAATTTTCTTAGACAGATTCAATCAATACTTGAGCAATGACATATTCTCCATCATGTGAAACTGATGAATGAGTTATAAAATTCTTCCGTTCAACATTTTTGTGAATGAACAAATGTGGTTTTTCTATTAAAAAGGCGGGCGGAGAATTAAAATTAAATGATTTTATAAAAGAAACACACTAAAACAAGAATTTAAACATGCCTTCAATCTTTTTCACAGACAAATCTTTCCAAGTTGCTTTATAATTAGGGTAAAGAGCTTTATAGGCTGCTTCTTTTATTGACCATCTATATTATTAAATATTTAACCCTTAATAAACAACAACAACATTGTAACAAAATTTCGCAACACAATAAATATTTACCTGACAGCGAGATATCTCACAATGGGGTGATTATAATTTTCTATTACCATATTATCTCCTTCATTATAAATTGGAAAAATAGAATAAAATTCCTTAATCTCATCAGAGTCCAAAATGCGTGTAACAAATCTTTTAAACTGTCGAGGAAAATTTCGTGTGATTAGCGCGTATATTCGTGGTAAATGAATTATATCTACGCCGATACCTAGTATCATTTTTTCTTTGATTTAAAAAAGTGTACATAATCACATGAGCAAATTAACAATGCTTTATTTCCATAACCTGTTTTCGCGCTCTCTAGAATATTATTATATGTGTATACCTGTAATTGGCTTTTTCATGAATATAAAATCTGTGGCGATGCAAAGCAAATAACTCATCTGTATAAATAAAATATTGTATTGTTGAGTAAATTAATTTATATCAAGAGAAAGGATGATCGGTGTACTTTTCCGATTATTTCATATATTTTTTTTATTAACGTGTGGGATTACACGTAAGCTCTAAAGTTATTTGAGATTTAAAGAAATAATGTTAATAAATTTTATTTATTTATTTTTTTCGTGCAGATATTTGGTTATTTTTTATACTGGATTCTTTTGAAAAAAGTTATCATATTAAAAATAAATTCAAGACAAATGATGATAGTTCAATTTTGTATCTCTTATTAATTCTAATGGCGCTTTCATTTTCATGTGAGTTCTCTCCATCTTTTTGTTGTAAAATTTTAAAGAAATCGGAATCGGATAAAAAGATTTATCAAAATTTATAAAAAATTGATAAAGTTTGGACATTTTTTAAATATGGATTTAAAATTCGAAAAGAAAGTACACAAGAACTTGGAGGATATTATTTGTGAGATTTCATGTATATTTTGATTTATTTGATTTTATTTTCATTAAGTTTTCTAACTAAAATGTTAAAATAGTATATGTGCATTGCTTTGGATTTTTTATCATGGTAAAAGAAAGCATCAATGAAGATCTTTAGTTCAATATTTATGAACTTTCTCAAATTATACAATTTTTTTTTTTTTTTTTTTTTAAAAAAAAAAAAGGAATTTTGACAATTCGAATGGCAATTTTTAATAATGACGAAACTTTATCAGGTCAGCCTTGGCAATGTATTTTACCTCATAATCTTAATAATGGGAACACATCCATAGAAAATAATTTAATAGAAACCACTACTTTAGGTAAATCCATCAATCTTTTTCTCTAAACCTCTTTTACTTTAACAAATTTTAATTGAATATGTCACTCTTTAACTTAAATTATTATTTCACCAGTTTCAACAAATACCTTTTCAAAATTTGATACAATTAATTTATCTTCACCTTCATTAATGATTACTACCAAAACGTCTCAGATTTTAATCAACAACACAGTTAATCCCACTCAAATTCCTTCTTCTAACTCCATAACTCATCATCTGTTCATCATTTCTTCAATTATCAATTCTCAATCAAATTTTCCTTCCACAACTTCAAATCAAAACAATAATTCTAACCTTTCCTTAATCACACCGACATCGTCTGTTAATACTTTAATAACTTCTACTTCTACTATAAACTCTGTGACCACCACCACCAATTATTTATTAAATCCTATTATTATTACTAGTACCAAAACAATTAATAATATTTCTTCAGCATCACCAACTTCTATTATTAGTATTGGTTCTTTATTTCCTAAAACATCTACAATGACTAATACTACAGAAGAATCCAAAAATTATTCTATAAATATTTCATTATCAAAATTGGTAAATCAAATATGTACTTTAAGAATGTTGGATATATTATTAGGATGGTTTAATCCTTTGTTTTTCTTTTTAATGAGTTGGGTTATAATGTTAGATTTGGATGATTATTGTATTGATGGAATATTTGATAGGGTGAAAAATAGGAAAAGAGGAGGTTATATGATGGTATAATTTATTCATATATGAATATGTATCACATAAACAAAATAAATTTAATGAAAGAAAATAAATGAATGCAATGAAATATATAATGTTTTATATACATTTAATCTAATTTCAGGATTTATTAGGGATTATTAATCAATCTGTGTAACATAATCATACATATAAATTCTTTTACTCCCTCATTCTGAAATTTTTCACTTAAAAAATTTCTGTTCATTAATAAATAGTAAATCACGTTTTTCATGTATCATTTCAGGTAAATATTGCACAAAACATTGCAAACAAATAATAATGATAATAATTTTTATCTTTAATTTATTTTAAGAATACAAATTCTGAAAATTGGAATTGATATTACGAGATTATAAAAAATATTTATTTCCAGAGTTCAAAAAATATTTTTAAAATGATTAAAATACCATTTGATCATTATTTCTCATTTAATAATAATAAATTCAATAAATTCACAACAACTAATTTAAAATTTATCGTAGCTATACATTCACCTGCTACACTTTAGAATTATAGTTCACAAGAAATTACAAAGGATCAACGACAACCACCAAATTTATCAAATTTACATTTTATTATAATCTTATATACATTTTTAGAAGCTATTCGATTATGGACTTATGGACTTTTATTTTAACTAAAATATTTAAATCCCTTGTGGCATTAGAATTTACTTGCTTCAAAAAAAAAAGCTTGGAATTCCGAAAGATGATCTTATATTAAGATATGGAGTAACAAAATATGGAATAAGTAAATGGAAAGAGATTACAAAATTAATTCAAAATAAAATGAAAAAAAAATATATATATTATTACGTTGGAGATTTTATTCGAAGTTTAAATATGGAAGATGGACAATGGAAGAAAAATATATTATTAATTGAACTTGCTTCCAAATATAAACATGATTGGGCACAAATATTAATTACATTATCAAATATGTAGTAAATACTTAATAGACATAAATGGTCTATAACAATTAAACAATGATTAAATTATTACACCAAGAAGTTCAAAACAAGAATTATTGTACAAATTTTAACGATAATACAGAGTTTTTGACAGATCAACAAGACCTACAAGAGTTTGATGTGTGTTTAATGAAAACACTGAAAGAACGTAAGAAAGATGAACTTGATGTTAAATTAAATGATGGTAAAAAATAAAACAAAGGTAAAAGTGGTTCCATAAATTTGAAGAAATTTAAGAAAGTCTTTTTGAAAAGATCTGAATTTAGCAAGAAATTCTTTGATAATACAATGCACATTTTTAATAGAAAATCAAAACAGTAACAAAGACAATATACAAATAGCCAAAAATAATATAGGAAAATTGAAAAGTATATGGGAATAACCAAAGATAATAGAGATAATAGAGGTGTAATTAAAAATAAATCAGGAATAAAAGAGATGAATAATGATGAGATTAATAATATTAATGAAGTTGAAGAAGTTGAAGAAGTTGAGAAGAAACACTATTGAATGAATTGAATGATGCTGATGGTGATAGTGATGGTTCTGTAAATATTGATGATGAAATTTTTAAAAATTAATTAAAAGATTTTGAATATATTGAAGAATATTTTGATAATTTACTAATATTTTATTCAAAAAAACCAATTATCAAAATAACCAAAAATGATAGTATAGGTATAACTGAAGATAACATATTTGAAAGATATATGAAAATAACTGAAAGATAATACAGTGTAGGACACCTAAAGACTGAATTATTGTAACTTTGTCCCATTTTATTGTCTGTCAGATTTTAATAAATTTTAAAATGAATTAAAAACGCGATTTATGCATGCATATTTTGAAAAATAATGCATGTGATATATCATGTGAATAACGGCTTTTTGAATCATACGAATGCCGAATTTGATTTAGTGGAACAAAGGGGTTTGGAAATATATACAGTAGGACAAAAGGGCAAAAGGAAAGGCTAATGTGAGAGTTAAATATTAGATAATATTGTCCAATAAAATTAAAGAACGTTCATGTTATATGTCCCATTTTCGATTGATCATATAAGAATGCACCTGATAACGCGTAATTATTATTAAAAAAGGGAGTCGGCATTTTATAGCAAATTGTTCTAGCGGCTTCTTTTTTGTATCACCTATGTACAATTTTAGGTTACCTTTTTAAAATGATACTGTTAGATAATAATATGATGCAAAGATGAAAAATTCAATAATAATAATGATAATAATAATAATAATACAAGGATAACTGAAGATAAAAGGAAAACTGGAAATGCAATATCTAATAAGAAATCAATAAATAAAACAAATATTTAATTTGATTTTTAATATTTATATTAATTATATTAATTATTCTAATTAATATCTAATTTTTCATATTTCTCTATAACTCCTCTTATATCACTCACATACTTCTCTTATATCTCTTCTAATATATCTCTTTTAATATATCTCTTCTTTATATAATATACAACAAAATTATTCTCTTCATCATCTTTTTATTATTTCAACAATTTCTAGTAATGACATTTATTGTAATTTCTAAAATAAAAATTTTCATCGCTCATTTATAAATGATTTATGTTATAATTTTTTTTAAGTATTTCTTTTCTTGTTTTTGCTCGTACTGAACAATACCAACATTGAATAATTTCTTTTTTATATATTTTTATTTCAACATAAAAGTAAATATAAAGTAAATATAAGATAAACATAAAGTAAATATAAAGTAAAATATAATAATAACCAAAAAAAAAAAAAAGAAATGATACTAAGAGAAGAACATCCGAATCATAAAATTTTTTGCCCTTTTTGCTTCCCATACGGCAGATCTCCAATCTTCTTCATCAATTAAAGTTATCATATCATTTACTTGATTTTCGTATGTGATACGATTAGGATTTATTACTATTCCATAATTCATTTGAACATTTTGAAGAATTTCTTTAAAAGTGATATTTTCGGAAACCCGTAACGCATATATATGAGTAAGAAATGTACAAATTATGTGAAGCTAAAAAAATATAATTAAATAAATATAATTAATAATAAATAAATATTATTTGTAAATATTATATATATTTAAATAATACCTCTTTTTGATTAGAATTTTTGGAATTTCCATTCAACAGTGAATTATTATTATTATTATTATTATTATCATCATCATTATTATTGTTGTTATTTTCCTTTTCAAATCTTAATTTCTTTATACCTTCTTCAAAAAATATTAAAGTATTTTTATCAACCCAATCGGCAGGCAAGAATACTAATTTCTGAGCACCATCAAGTATACATTTTAATGGATCCAAATCTAAAGGTTCACGTTGATTCAAAGGACCTGAAGGATACCTATAATACTATAAAATATATTGTTATTATTATATTATACAATATATTTATTATTATATTATACAACTAATAATCATTATTAATTATTTATTATTATACAATACATTGTTATAATTACCTTTTTTTCAAAATTCTTATTAAATACAATAAAGATTTCTCTTTCCGCAGTCATATGAAATCTTTTAATTTGGTCAAATGGAATAACAACTTCATCTAGAGCATTATTTAAACTGATACATAATTCACTGCTGATAAAACGTAAAACCAAAGAAAGTTTGGGACAATTTGTAGCCAAAATTTGTTTTCCACAATCATCAATATCAAATTTACGAAGATCAATTTTGATGAATTGTTGATGCCATATATCATTATTATCATTATCACCATAATTATTATTATTATTATTATTATTATTATTATTATTATTATTATTATTATTATTATTGAGATCTGTTATAATATCGTGACATGAATGAATATAATTAATGAATTGATTAATGATGATAACTTTATATCAGATAAATATATTAATATATTTACCATTATTTCTTTCACTCCCAAAATTCCAAGCTATATTTTCATTGTCACTATTACTCATTTTTATATATTTCTTTTATACTTGTTACACTTATGCAAAAAATAAAAGTCCAATAATTTTTACTATAACCAAATTTTTATTATAGAGGTTCCGCAAAATCTCTTCAGATGATCAATATTTTGAAGTAGGAAGAATCCTTTATTGAATTCTAAGGAAAATTTGTTCACCAGAATTATGGAAATTTTCCAGTTATCGTGAAAATTTGGGAAATCAATGTTTATCCGAGAATATAAAAATTATAAATGTATTTTTATAGATCACGTGAATTGTGTCAAGTAATCTACAAGTATTATTATTGGAAAAAGATTCCAGATTGTTAGAAATTATTAAAAAAATGATTTCACATCATCATAAAAGTCACAAAAGAAAACCAATTAATTCTTCACTTAATGATAATTTTTCCAAGAAACATAAACCATCAAATCGTCATCCACTTGGCATTAAACCTTGGGGTAATTATTATTTAGATAAAATCAACAACAACAATAATAATAATATCAATAATAATAATAATAATAATAATAATAATAATAATAATAATAATAATAATAATAATAATAATAATAATAATAA